GGGCGGCGCGTCACTTGTCACACATCGCTGGACATCATCGGTCGCTGTTGGAGAGGGAAGGTTACTCCTCAGAGTCCAACGCAGCCGGGGTCGGTTTCGAGGACGTTCGACGGATGAGCGCTCCCGACGAATGACAGCGCCCATGGCCCAGAACTCAGAACCTGGGAAGCGGCAGCTGAGACGGGGGAAACATTGGAAAAGGAGTTTGGGGTTGGGAAATATTGTAACGGGGCTTCCTTTACGTGGGCTAGGCCCGACGGATAGGGCTAAGAGCAAGGACGGCAGGTCTGGGAAACTGTGGGGCGGATGTCTCACCCGCAAGTTGCTGAGGTCGCGGGTCGTAGGTCGAAGGGACAGACGGGGCGTGATGGACTTGGGACGGGAGTTTTGGGCGAGGTTCCGGGAACCGTGGATTTCCGGGATGGCGAAACGAAGGGCCAGGGGACACAAGGATAACACGAGTTGTCTGGGCAAAACCTCGCACACAAGTTGTTGGGTCTCGCGTTGCGATTTCTTTTTATTCGGGTCTCCCTCTCTTAATTCTATTGCAATTCTATTGGCCCCCGACGCGCTCGACGGCCACGCCGCCGTTCGAGCTCGGCACCATCCTCTGATATCGTATCTCACGCGCACACGTCGTTTTGTTACCCTTCCGCCTTCGTCCCGGGTTACCCTGCGCCGCCCGCGCTGCGGCACCAGGCTTCGACATTGAATTCCCAGCGCACATATCGTTTCCTTACAATCTCTCTCTTCCGCCTCGGTTTCGCTCCGGGATCGGCAGGGCGCACTACAACTATGCGCTCACTAGATCTGCCGACCTCGGTTCCTGCCGGGGCATCTGTTCCTGATTCCCAAATTCGACTAGCACTCTAGGTCTTCTCTCAGGGTTCTCCTTCCTCGACCAAATCTCCGTCACAATATCCCTCTCGGTCCTGTGACCTCCTTGCTGAGAGGAATGCCTCCGCCCAACGCCGATTACGATCAGGATCGCTGCCAAAAACTTGGAGGCTGGGAGTATATCTTTTTGGCTATGTAGTGAGGATCCCGCCAGAGACTTGACATCACCCCTGAAGAGAGCTCCGACCCCGAGGGAATCCCCGTCGGGAATATTCGTCCTCATCGTTCCGGAAATTACTTATCGGGAACATGGGGGAAGGACCTCCGCCTTGGCCGATCCCGGAGGCAATCGCCGCCCTTTCGGGTGTGTACCGCCTGTATCTTCGGAGCCCGATCATGGTCCGTTTTCGGTCCTGTGGGCGGAATGCTACGCCCGTATGCCCCTACAAGTGGCCTCCACTCCAGGTCATCTTAGAGATCTCCGATTTTTCACGCAATTTCAAGAAGTCAGTTCCAAGGCTCTGGAAGTCATGCCGAGTTCTCCCTGATACCGCTTGAAGCCCCATTGTGGTACTGCGCAGAGCTGTACGGGGAGCTTTCCACGGGATTTATTCCCAGTCTATCATCAGTCATCGGAGATACGTCTCTGATGAGAAAAAGACTCGGCACCTCGATCGAACTCCCCACAACATCCTAGGCCTTGCCTCTGACATTCTCGTGCTTTTCGCCCTCGAAACTGACAATGAGGTCTGGAGACTCGCGATGCGGATGGCTTCTTCATTCTATCGGCTCATAGCTATCGCCCGCGTTGAGCAGAGATCAACATCATCAAGGTCCGGAATCGTTTCGTCTGCTGCCGCGCGCTTCCAAGAACAGTTGTAATGAGATCAAAAACGTATTTTCTGGTTTGTTTGTAGCCATATTTCGGAATCTTGCAGTACGTCTACGTCATTGGACCGCCGAACACAATGGCTGATCGCTCATTTGCTTGCAAGGCAGGCCTGCTAGCTGCTAGATTAGATACGGTGTTTGTTTGTTCTCTGGCCGCTGTTTGGTCAGTTCATCCGTCGGCCTGTCGGTCGTTCGCTCGCGCGGAAGGTCGGTTGTCCTGTCCTCGCCGTCAGTAATATGATGATCGGCGGCTGCTTGCTCTGCACTGGCGATGAGCAGTCGGAATCCTACGGCCTTCCGTTACCCAGTCCCTTGAGCGGCCGGTCGACAGAGCGCTCGTCACCCGGTCAGCCAGTCTGTCGATCTGCCCACCCACCAGCATCTGAGCGATTAAGTGAGCGGGTGAATGCTAACCCACTGCTAGTGCGAGCGACAATCATAATCGGCGCGAACAAGGACGGCAATTCATCCGCCGAACGCTGCTCGAGTAGCTCACTTCGCGAGGGCCCGCAAGCGGCGGTCCCGCCCGCAAAGCACGGCTGAATCCTCACCGTCAGCAGCGTAGACGTGCTCATAATGACTGACGACTGTGTCCGGGATCGCTCTCGCAGGCCAAATCTAGAGAAGAAGATCAGAAGATAGGGGCGAATGCTCTCGAAAAAAAAATCCGAGAAACTCAGCAGCTTGGTATTGTATCCATGCAGGCTCATCGGCACGACACCCCTGACTATCTGAAGCACACGCACGACGGAGATACGGTAAAATAGAAAGTCCGGAGCTAGGAGTTGTGGTCAGAGCTCGACAGGCGCGGCAGCGTCGGTGGGATTCGTAGGGCAGCGCCTCGAGCCTCATTCGATGTCGATTATCTTCGGCAAGGGAGCCGAGTCAGCTCGACCGCTCAGAGTACCTGTGGTGCTCCCTAAGACAACTTCCCGCAAGCCGCTTCCGATAAAGGACGAAGATTGCGGTCTCTCTTCGGTCTTTTCCTTCGGGGAGCTGCTCTATCAGGGTGCCTACCTCCGCTATTCGGGCGCCCTCCTATCAGCGTCAACAATACTACCAATAACTCGGAATACGACAGCGGGCCTCACCCAGGGGCACCATGCTTGTTTGTTCAAGGCGACATGCTTTTCGATTGCGCGTGTTCACTATGAAGTCCCTTCCACGGCTCTCCGCGGCCCGCTCAGTACAGATAGTCGTGACATCATCCACTCACAAGGAGAAGGTCAATATCGGTAAAACTAGGACTGGTTTTCCGTTGAGCGGTGACCATACTATTCAAATTCTCCGAATCCACCACGGGAAACTGACGGAATCCTCGAAGCTGCGCCTGAATATATTAGAGAGCCGTTCTGGGCTCGATCAGGGTAGAATCAGAGCGCAGGAACATGTCGCGTGGGGAAGAACTCACGGCGAAACACCCCCCCCCCGTCAGAGCACCGTAAGAAACTTCTAGCTTGGATCATCGATGCCGTGCAGAACTTTCTCAGCTCCCAACGGAGACACGTCGGCCCAAGTCGGTTCGAAATCGACTGAGAGCTGTAGCTTCCCCCCAGAACGTGCCCAATCCCGGCGTACCCAACCTCGAAATTACTCCCGAAGATCCCGCGTACGGCTCCGCTAATTCTCTCGTTGAGGGTCGCTCCTCGTTTCGTCGAAAGCCACCCTCCACTTTTCGGATGTCTGATGAATTACTTTGCATCAGAGGAATCGCGTCAATCAGGGGCTTTCTGTTCATCATCTCGGAAATCCTAAATCGACTCGCGAATCCACCAATTGACTTATTGACCTGGGTTCTCTTCATGCAGCCGTTCCCCGATCGTCCTGTCTCCTCACGCCCTCTGCAGTGACGAGTCGATCGAGTTGGGAACCGCATCAACTCTTTTGCCTTGTCCTGGCGTACCCGGGGGGAATCGCCACCGAAAGCGAGCGCGGTGTTCCAACTCATTTCGTCTGTCGAACCCACCAACGACATTCAAACAACCCCTGATCTCGGTGCTGGTTCGGCTCTCTCCGAGCGAACCCCACTCTGAATTCTCTCCTCCCTCCGAGAAAAGAGACCGCGCTCTCACGTGTGGGTACAAGCGAACGACTTTTCAGTGTGTTAGAACAAGGGAAAGATTCTCTCTGAGACGAGTTCCCCGCTGAACTGAATCTTCTACCCAATCGAAACTCTGGATCTCCTCCGACATCGTGGTATAAAGTCTCCCCATCGAGTCCGGACAAGGGTTCGGACCGCGGGAGGCTCTGGACTCGTTTGACTTGTAAGCTCCGTAAATTGGGAGCTCATAGCACGCTCGACTCAGAATACATTTTGCTCCAAATTCGCAGGCATGACAAGCGCGGCGAATTCACCTAAGTGAGGTGGTCTCTCTCAGGAGAATCCTTCGCTCAGGCATTAGTGTTGTTCTTCGCTCTGCCACGAGCTCCTCTGCGCGAGGTTTCGTAACATGAAAAAATCGAGAGCGTCGAAGAGAAACGTCCGCGAAGGCTCTCTCCTGGAGAGACGAGGAGAATCGGAATTGCGCTTCCATCCGATCTGTTCATCACGGATTTCTAGGTTTTCATCCAGCAGATGCGAAAGTGTGAATTCAACGAGCACCGTACGGTGATGACCCCACTGAATGCGTTCACCAAAAAAAGCATTCCTCCGAGTGTACACTTGGCTGAACACTCGCTCAGTCTATTGGCTGGATAGCTGATGATGTACACACAGCTTCTCCCTTGAACACCTTCGGATCGTCGTCGGCCACATCTTTTAGGGCTCCGGATCGAGACTCAGCGGCGCCAGCGAGTCGATCCGGCATGCAGGCCGGCCAGCAACACCTGAGCGAGCCTCTCAAGTAGTTCTTCTTTTTTCCGCTTTTGCTCCGTGCGGCGTCGTTGGCTTCTGCTGCGATTGGTGACGGTGGAGGCGGGTAGAACTCTGTATGCCTACGCTTTTCGTGAATAGGACACCTCGCTGCTTCTCAAAGCGTTGGACCAGAGAGCAATATCACGTGTTTCTCGAGTTCTATAATTTCTCGATATCTGTCTGATATGCCTTCGAAAATAATTACTGCAGTCCCGTCGAAATATTCAGCGAACGCTTTTCGTTATGGATCCGCTGAGAGAAGACACGATCCGGCGTCAGAAAAACAAGGAACCCGATATGCTCGATAGGATTTTAATGTTATTTACAGTGAGCCTAGGAATCTCCGAATGGAGTGGAAAAACGGTCGGCGAGTCGAGATCTACCGCGCAGTCGTCCGGATCGGGGTCTCTGGGGGCAATCAGGAAACTGAAGTGATCGCTCCTCTAGAGGTACCCATTTGAGTCAGGACGCGATCGAGCCACTGTAACGGTCCCGAAAGATGGATCTCGATCCAGCACGGAGTTGACGTTACGTCCTGCCTGTGATATTCGGCCCCCCATCCCTGCAGAGAGAGAGAGAGAAAAAGAGAGTCAGAAGCTGCGGTTTTCTTTACAAGCGATCCCCATGTGCGGAATGCTACTCACTTTGACGAAGGACATTCTTATCGTGCACATCTTGATGAGCTCGTAGACGGCCTCGTATCCATGTTGCACGGCCTGTCTCAGAAGCTCAGCGAACTCGTGGTTGTTGAATATTTTCAACGAGCAGTTCGGCGGGATTTTACACACGGTTGTCGGATGGAAATCGTGAGCGTGATTGCAGTTTCGAGATTGCACGAAAATCGCCGAGTCGGACAGACACTCAGCGTACACTTCACCGTTGACGTAGTGGAGACGCACTCCTTTTCCAATGTGTCGGCGAGTGTTCTCGATGGTCGAGTTCCGATTAACGTTCGACAGCAATCCCAAGCAAAATCTCGGTGAGTTCTCAGATGGATCCGTGAATCCATCGATGCAAATGCTATTGTTCTGAATCGTTGCTCGGAATACCTCACCGACTCGAGCGTTCAATTCGTAGTACGCTATTGTACACCAATACTGAGGTTCTTGGTAATCGACGGCGTGCATCTCTGGAGCAGGCGCTGAAACATCCATCGGTTGCTGATTGTTGACGTTGGGTCCATTGCTGAAGGAATGATGACCAGTTTCGATCGATGAATAAGCCGGAGGGGGAGTGCCCGCTATGCTGGCCGAATGCGGCGAAGAGGGACACAACGATGTAGGTGACGGTGCTTGCGACGGATACTGCTGAGGTGAGTTCGCTGCGTATCGTTGGAAGCAGCCCTGGGGTGTGAACGACACATTCTGAGGCATGCCCCGATCTTGGACCGGTCGGAACGGGGCCGGAGGGAGCGGATGCGGCCCCGCGCTCGCGGTACTCATTTCCGGGGGGAATTCGGAATATCGGGGAACGAGCACCGGGGGCAGAACCGGAGACTCGACGCGCCTGCAAAGTTGCTTTTTGAGCATACAATACAATATTCTGACTTTCGTCATCCGCCGTCAATCGATGAAGGGACGGTGGCAATCGACTCCGACGTCTTTCGGTCGTACGCACTTGTAGTGATAAGGATTGATGCAAACATCTTTTTGTTTTGATCCGAAAGGGAACTGACAAGTCTCGACTGCTTTCAGTTCGTGATGAGATTGGAGGTCCGGCCATCTCCAAACGCGGCAGTATATAACGTGGGGCAGTCCCTTGCGATGAGAAACCTGTAAGCGACCGTCCAGCGAACGTGGGATGGTCACGCATTTCGATGGTTGCGTCGGGGAAGACAACGCTTTTTCCAGATCCTCGATTGCCCCCTTCCGCTTCTTCAATTTCTTCACGAGAGCGTCCACAGCTTTCTCGGCCCTGCGAATAACATTACGATTCACGAGACACTCTATGCAGATGAAGTTGTCTTTCCTCTGCGGAGCATCGAGCTTCCGAGAGAGCTCACTCACTGAGAGAACGAGGATCGAAATCGTACCGAATCCCGCGTCGGATTGTTCCAGTCCGATCGGCGAGAGGACCTCGTTCCCTGCTCGAAATCGAGAAGCCGAATCAACGCTCAGCGAGAGGGATTTTCGACACTAACCATTTCTCTTCTTCGTCGCCTTGTTTCCAGCCGAGCAATTTCTTCACCACCGGCGGTGTGAGGCTGAATAATGATTTGATCGCCGAAGACAATGAGGGATTCGAATGTGGGTCGTTCTCCATAATATCGAAGTGGGGCGACGGAGACTCCTGGTCGTACTGAAAAAATCGAGGCGTACCACTTGAGAAAAACGCGTTCCACAGCCCCGCGAAAGAAAAAAAAACATTCTGGGAGTCTCAGAGATGTGGATGCGAGCTATCGGTGCTCGAGTGTCCGCAGGTTGCTCCCGTAAGTCTCGTCTTGTACCTACTCTGTGCTTCGCCGTCGCTGAGACGGGAACCGATCCAAGAGATACTCGACTCTTCGGAGAAGAGCCTAGCTACCATGCCTCAAGCTCTAGTACCATTCGACTCAATTCAATAATTACTGAACGCACTCCATAGATCTCGAACGAACCGCGGTGTTCTAAACGCCGGAAGTCTAGCTGTTTCCGCACGATATCGAAAATGCCGCCATCATGTGCTATCTAAGTCTCAGGTGAACTATTGAGTTTGAAGTTCTCCCCTCAGTCGGATACGTAAATTCGCCCAATGCTCCAGCCGTCTGTCGCGGAGGAAGCCCCAAGATAATCGGGGACATCAGCGCGAATGAATTTTTCCGAGTCGAAACTTTCTGTGTTCTTACCTCATTGTCGTAGTACGGCGACATCGGTCGTCCTAAGTCCACCATCCCTGACAGAAGTTCGGTTCGAGTCTGAGGCTCAATAATAATTCACATAGATACACTGTAGAGGCACAGTTGACGTAGCCGGTAGATTCGCTCCTGAAATCCAACACGCGAGACACCCACTACTCCCAGAACAATTTGAAGCGCACAGAGCAGCGGCGGAGACTTGTGACTTGAAGAAACGGAACCCCTGGCTGTCGATGGTGCCGGTACTCGTGGTGGTGGTTTTCGGTGTGGGGCCATTCGAACTTCTCTCCTAATGCCGCCTTTCTTATTCTAGAAGAGGGAGGAGGAGGAGGAGGTGTTGCCGCTGCCGCCGCCGCCATCGTCGTCGCCACCACCACCTCTGTGGCTGCTGCTGACGCGAAAGGCTTATTGTTGGACGACGACAACATGTTCCTCTCAGCGGTCTCTTCTTCGATTTCAACTGAATCCGCTCAATTCTCCTTAAGTCTGTCTCTCTGGTCGCACCGGAAACTCGTCGGGGGCGAATCGATGAGCAGCATTGTGATCTTCCGATGTGATCGACAGAATCAGACGGATTCCTCTTGACGCTCACGCCTGACGGGGCATCGATAAAAATGCTCGATTTGCCAACAAAGCTGTGTCATTCGGGCGGTCATGCTCGTGGGAACGCATTGCGTGTCGGAACAATTTGGCGAAACCGAATCATGAGACTTTGTTTATGCTCTCGTAAGACCCCACCATTGATTCCGGTAGCTCATCAGCGCGCAGAGCCCGGTCGGTGCCTGAGAGAAACTCGATAATAGAGTCGGGTTTTCGATCCGCTCCGTGAGTTGTCCTCGAATGGGATACGCCGCGCATTGTACCGATTGACTCGGAATCCATAGGAGGCGCTTAAATTTTCGAAAGGTGTCGTCGTCGACCGAGACGGCGCTGGCCTAGGCGTGTAAGACTGGGAAGTCCAGCGAGAGAACCGACGTAAGCTCGAAAAGCGTCGGTCACCCAAGCCCGACGCTGGAGCCCGCGTCTGATGAGTCGAAGGCAGCCCGTGGAGAACGAAGACGCGAACAGACTTGGCTGCTGCTCCAATCGGATGCTCTCCCTCCGTAATATCTTCCCCGCTCGACAGGCGATCATGACACAACGAAAATATAGTAAATATAAATGAATAAAGAAATAAATAATAATCAGGGGTCGGAGTTCTCAGGTTTTATGAGGCGTTTGTCACTACTCGTGCAAACGTGCGTTTCACTTCGTGAAATGCCGCAACGACGCCTCTCGCACGGGAGGCGGTGTGGGTTCGATCCCTGCTGCCGGAAAAATATTCCTTACGGACCGCAGGTACTCGGCCTCGATCCTCCTGGGTACATTTGCTCTATGGATCCGTCCTCGGAAGCAATGTGAATAACAGTACCCGGGACGTTAAACCTTGGCTGTGTGGATCAGCCCGAAAAAGTTTTTAGGTTTTCGGAGGCACCGGAGACTCAGACCGATATCGGCCTCCATCGATTCGTGCTTTTCCGGAGGGAGAAGTTGAGCGGGAACTTCAGGTACCGATCATTAGTTGAGGGAGCTCCGCGATACGGTATCGTCGATCATACTGCTCGCGTGCGAAGCGGAGCTCGTTGTCGACTTATTTCGCTCGCTCATTAGGAAAGGGATCCGTGATTGGAAAAAGCTCAGCCGCTTGATTGTCCAAGAGCAATATGGTGTGGGATTACCGTGGGCGTCCCTGTATTCTCTCCTTGCAGCATTTCCTTGGGGGACTCTGGAGACTGATGCTTAGCTTGGAGACGGCGATTATTCACCTTGCCGCCAGAAAGGATTAGACGGATCATCTTTCCCGCTCTCTCAAAGTCAGCGGACCAAAATCGGAGAAAATCCCTTCACGATATCTCCTCCAACGCGTCCCCCGATGAGGAAGTTGATTCCGATTCCACGCTGTGTATGAGTCCCCAATCATGTAATCGGTCGCAAGAAAGGTTGCCTCGACCGAGCACAGTGCTCCACGTCGAAGAGGGAAAGTGCTGCGAAGATCGCCCTTGGAGCAGCAGCCGCTGCCCTCGGAGGATTCCTCAGCGAGCCTGCCGATTCCCTTCAAACTGTTTCCATCGTGCGTGCAATCGGAGCGACATCGGTACTTGTTGCCAGCGTCGGCCCGGATCTTATGACGTCCGGTGACTCTCGATCTTATCCTTCTCGGTAGTAGAGCTCCGGGTAGTGTGCCAAGTGACACGTGTCCACTGACTACGAGCTTACACCTGCACGCGTAGACCACTCGGAGGTTATCTTTCAAATCACCCAGAGACTTCCGTGGAGGTTGAACTGTTCCGCGCGGAGTTCGTATCTGGATCAACTTTCCCATCGAAATGGATTCAATCGTACTTGTCAAGCTTCTCATAATCAGTAGCTGGCCATTCTCTTGCTGCAGCGAGGGATGCCCGCCTGATTCTAAGAGATCCCTACTTGCCGATTATGAAGATGATCTTGATCCAGATCGTCAGAACCATGGAGGCAAGGAAACTGCTCGCGTTTTGAAAATAAAACAAGAATCAGGCAATGAGTTGTGGTCATAGATTGAGAGGGGGACCAGAGCATCGTTGGTATACATATGTGAATTCACGGTCATGCGTGGATCTCCACGTTCTCGCTTAGGCATCGAGCCTTCCCTCTCCCCGGATGACCTGTTTGGAATAATGAAAAGTTTCCTTGCGGGACGTTTTCCGATTCTGACCGCAACCTCGAACGGGGAGTGAACGATATCCACGGAAACTGGACGCGAAGAGCACTATGGGAAGATTTGTCGGCCTGAATTTCCGCTCCAGAAGACCCCGAGGTCTTACGCCTTGTCCCCATCCCCGAGCTCCCCGTGCTTCACTAGTGTTGAAGAGGCTCTTGAGTGTCCCTCATCCAGGATTTTCGCTAATGATGACTTGATGCACAGAAGCAGGCCGCCAAATCGGATCTTCAGCTCCGCATACAGTTCTGTAGCTTCAGCCGTCCCTGTGTTTTTGCAGAGGCTTTGAGATCCTCGCAGACAGTCGCACGTGACTTGTGACCTCCAGACTACAGACCAGAGGCGTCCGCGGGACTTTTCCTGCTTTCTCGCATGGGGCTAATTTCCAACATGGCGACTCGCTCGGTACCTTAGCACAGGGGTTCTCAACCTTTTTTGCCCTGCGGAACCCTGGTGGGGTTCCGCGGAACCCTTATTGTTGGTTTCGGACTCTATCTTTCCAAATTTTCCCCTTAATCACCTCAAAACCTTCGACCACGATCGCATGAAGTATCCTGCATGCATTAGAGCTTAGAAAATTCATTCCAATTTGATAAAATGAATAAATGAATAAAAGTCTGCGCAGCCGAGCAGGGGCTCGCGGAACCCTAGGGTTCCGCGGAACCCAGGTTGAGAACCGCTGCCTTAGCATAACGAACTCTCAATCTGGGAATTACAACTCTCAGCAGCCCCCATGCGGACGCGCCTGCCACAGACGGTGTACATGGGTTCTCTCCTAGCGCGAAAAGTCCTAGGAGAGTCTGCTGAAGAAGAAGTCCTGAAGGCGAACGGCACGGATATCCTATTGGTAAGTGAAACGAAACTTATGAATAAGGAAGCACCCCCTAGAATCCACGGATACGAATGGATAGGGAAAAATAGACAAGGAACGTCAGGGAGGAAAGCCTTCGGAGGAGTCGGAATACTCGCAGCACAACATCTCGAGCTTGAATTAAAAGGCTCGGGGGATGATTGGGTTGCGGCAACGCTCAAAAACGGAGATGAGGAATGGGTTATAATATCAATATACTGCCCTCACTCAGTCTCGAAGTCGAATAGACAACAGCTCAACTCCTTATCTCAATTCATCGACCAAAGATGCCAAATGAAAGGAGTGGTGATCGGAGGAGATATGAATGCTCACACACATCTCTTCCGAGAGCACAACAACACGAGAGGCAGACTATTATTGGAGTTTGCGGATCGGCAAGGAATGGTTATTGTTGAAGGTCAAGATTCGTAGCTCTGGTCAGGAGTAGAAGAGCAGCCCGTTCAGGAATACACAGAGATGCGATCTCACGAGAGGGAGATACCACAGTGAATTTTATTCGAAATCTTAGGTCTTTTATACCTAGGCAGGAGTCTAAGCTCCTCCTTACATGTCCTGATCCGTACATACATATACATAGGATAAGGCTACCATGGTCTATCATAAGTAGCGTCCTAGAATGCTATTGGGTGTATCCAGCATGTGGGGTGCTAGCCCAATTTCGTACTACCTCAGGGGTATCATGCTAGAGTCATAACTTCGGG